AAACCACTTTGTTATTGAAGATATTTAAAAAAAAAACGATTAGAGTTTCATTCCAACTAGGGACGTGGAATAAATTGGTTTAGATTTTTTTAAAAGTTTGACAAGGTTTTTGTTATTTGATGCAAAACCACTTTGTTATTGAATATATTTAAAAAAAAAACGATTAGAGTTTTATTCCAACTAGGGACGTGGAATAAATTGGTTTAGATTTTTTTAAAAGTTTGACAAGGTTTTTGTTATTTAATGCAAAACCACTTTGTTATTGAAGATATTTAAAAAAAAAAACGATTAGAGTTTCATTCCAACTAGGGACGTGGAATAAATTGGTTTAGATTTTTTTAAAAGTTTGACAAGGTTTTTGTTATTTAATGCAAAACCACTTTGTTATTGAAGATATTTAAAAAAAAACGATTAGAGTTTCATTCCAACTAGGGACGTGGAATAAATTGGTTTAGATTTTTTTAAAAGTTTGACAAGGTTTTTGTTATTTAATGCAAAACCACTTTGTTATTGAAGATATTTAAAAAAAAAACGATTAGAGTTTCATTCCAACTAGGGACGTGGAATAAATTGGTTTAGATTTTTTTTAAAGTTTGACAAGGTTTTTGTTATTTAATGCAAAACCACTTTGTTATTGAAGATATTAAAAAAAAAAACGATTAGAGTTTCATTCCAACTAGGGACGTGGAATAAATTGGTTTAGATTTTTTTAAAAGTTTGACAAGGTTTTTGTTATTTAATGCAAAACCACTTTGTTATTGAAGATATTTAAAAAAAAAAAACGATTAGAGTTTCATTCCAACTAGAGACGTGGAATAAATTGGTTTAGATTTTTTTAAAAGTTTGACAAGGTTCTTGTTATTTAGTGTATAATCATGCCTTAAATTATTCGAACGATTTGTCCGGACACCCTGTATAATATATGTACGTGTCCATGACGACTCGTTATAAATTAAGCAAAATAATAGCTGGGTTTATTGATTCATTAAAGTAACTGATTTTCTTTAAACCCAGCCTTGTTGCCTATTCCATGGTGGCAGGTAAAATCGAAATTGCGGTAAAAAAAATATTCGCCTTTCATTTCCACATTAAATAAAATGTGTTGGCGCGTCCCATTACTTATTATCCGTCGATCAAATTGCAGTGACAGAACCAATTGGAACTTCAATTTATCTACCTGCGTTCGATTCCGTATCCGATGATCGATTGATTAGGCCTCGTTGCCGGAAAATGGCATTTGTTGGTTTATTTAGCAACCAAGTGGGTTTGAGTAACGTCGAAGGCTTATAATGTGAGAGGGTTGCGCGGTAACGATTACACTTGCGAGGGACCAATTTAAACGTCGAGATTACAGGATAACTACACTCGAAACGAAAAAAAAATTGCGGACTTCAAAACTGAAGTTAATATTTCGATATATGAACGCCCACTTTATCCGCCGTCGCTTCCTTTTTCGATTCTATTTTGCCAAAGTCTATGCATTAAAAATAACAAAAGGTTCTCTATTGTTGATATCTACCAATTATATATTATTATAAAAATATTTATTTTTTTCAATAAAGAATTAATTATTAATTAATCTTAAAAATGTGGAGTTATTTAAAAAAAAATATTTATTTGTAAGTTTACAAAAATGTATTTGAACTATGTATAACGAAATTGTAACAATTAAATATTTGTTGAAATAAATACTTACTCATTTTTGAATGAATTTCCATGAAAATGACGTGAAATACCAGTTTATTGATTTTGAAGAATTGTTTGTAATGTAATGAATCACATTAAATAATTGGTGTTATTTGAAGGGAAGGCATTTTTTAAAATATTTGGTTGGTTGGTCCTATATTTTAATTTGAATACCATTTATAATACCATATTAATAATATTGAAAAATCCAGAAATAGGAAATTATATGTGAGTTTTTATACTTCAAATTATTTAAGTGTATTTTATAATGTACTTTAAAATAAGTGATTTCACTATTATGTGAAATTACTAACACGATGTATATTTGCAAAAACGCACGCAAAATACATAATACTTATTAAACAAATAAGTAATGTGTTCATTTCGTATTCAAATTTAAACTTTTTAAATTTAATTTTAGGGAATAGTTTGAAACAGTTTAAACATACTAAAAATAACTCTTTAATGATAAGCTTTAACGAAATTTTTCTAAATAATCAAATATGTGATCTTCACTAGGATGCTTGTGACATTCATTTTAAACTTTTAATTGTTTTTAATATCTATATATATTTTTGGTTAAATAAATAATTATTTGCCTTAAATAAATACACAACAAAAATTGGAAACACATGTTTGCTCAAAGGAAATAAAAAAAAATAAATAAATATTTATTAGGGTCAATTTTTTGGGTTCTGACTTCAATTAGTATAAAGATTTGCTATCTCTTATTTATTAAAGTTTACGTATTAAAATATCCACGTTTCGAATAGTTCGTTTTTAATTAAATGGTAGAACCAGATTGAAACCTCTTTTTAACAAATGTCAGCTAATTTTGGTGCTGTTCTATCGTCTTTAAAATAAAGTTTGGTTTTTAGTAAGATTTCAAATTACTGCAAGTTCAAAAAATCCGAGAATGTTATTTTTTATTCATCAGACTGAGATATCTAGCAAAAATTTAACAAAAATAAAATAAACCTTCGTATACAAATTTACAGCTGTGAATAAGGTGAGTGTTCAGATTGAGAATTGTTCATAATTTTGCAAAACAATTGCTTTTATTGCTACCTTCAGGAAAAAAATACTACTTTTATTTAAAAAACGTCTATAAATAAAAGTAGTATGTGTAGTATGCTATCCCGTTTAGTAAACTCTGTAGGTGTGTGTCAAAATATAAATGAAAACCTGGTCAGTACCTTAATCCTCATTTTAAAAGTCGCGTCTACACATTTAAAAATTTCGAGCACAATAGTTATCCCATTTGATCGTAGCATCGGCCTTTTTATGCAAACAAATTTACAAAATTGTTCTTAAAAACCGCTCGTAACTGAACCAGGTTGAAAATTACAATAATTTTCCAATTTTAAATATAGGGCTTTTATACCTAACCACGCACGATAATATCGTGCGCCAAACCAAAATATCGTGTGTGTAGGGCCATAACCATGGGTAATTTTCGACAAAGAAAAATCCTATTGGCAGTCAAATTTCGTATAATTTGCTAGTTCCGTTTTTCGGGTGTACTTAAGCGAACAGTTAGGCTGGATAATTATTTAAATTTAAACGTTACACATTCATTTTTGCGGTTTAGGCTGCTTGATACTGACTGCGTACAGATATCAATAATAAATAAATGAAATGCACATAGGTAAATAATCAACTGCCCTAAACTTTCGTATAAAATTCATTGTTAGGTAGGGATATATAATGTAACAAAATAACTTTAAGTAGGTAAATGATAGTTAATAAGAACACACAAATTAAACAATATAAGATAACTTTATTTCTACTTCTCTAACCTACTACATTTTTCGAGAATACATTTCCTCAACTCTACAAAACTAATGAATAATTTTTGTATTTGACTTACATTATATCAGAAAAGCGATTTTTGATATACTTAGACGTTGTGAGCTATGATTTTTTTAAAACCCTTTTCTCCGAAACCTCTTTTAATTTATTTATTACTATATAATGTTCACTAGAAATTAATACAAAAAATGTTGGCAAAATGGCACTGGTTTAAAACCCGAAATCCTTTTCCAAAATCTTACTTAGTTTTGAAAACAGTCCCTCTATTTTAGTTTGTTCTCTAGGAAACTAAATAAATTGAATTTATATTTGAATGTAGCATAATTACTAAAATTTTAAAATTAAAAACTGTTTAACCAAATCGGGAAAGTAAATTTTTTATGGTAGTAAATTTCAAGTCGCATTTCTGGACCATTTTATATAAAAATTCCTATGAACGTGTGTTTCAATAGAAGCAAAAAGATGTTTTGAGAATCTCACCATTCAAAAGCCAGTCTTTATTCATTCAAAATTGACTCATTGATAGGTGCTTAAACTTAGTGCGAAGCGACCCATATAATGGTTTGACAGAAAATTTATTGAAAAAAAACGTATAACTGATTAAAAAGAAAACAAAAAGATATACATTGACATCTTTCCTTACCGACACGCCTCTATTAAGAGGCTCTGTATACGGACGCCGATTATTTTGTTGGTTAAAAAATGGAACTGGAATTTCCCTTAACTAGGCAATAAGATAATGACGCTGCATATAGTAAAAATATCCTTTCGAAAAAGGTCACTTGTTAGTATATTAGCAGAAAATTTGTCTACTTGATAAATTCTAGCACACAATAACACTAGTTGTTACGCGCCGCAAAACAATCAATGAAACATTTACCATAAAAAATGATAGGTTTAAACATTGACGACAGAATTGTTATTGTTGATGCATCAGAAAAACAATGATCTTAAAAATGAAAATGAGAAAGTAATGCAGAATTTTTTAAATAACTTAATATGGCCGAACAACAAAGATTCAATTCGATTCGAACATGAAATAAAACAGAAATATTAAATTTTTAAACTAATTGTAATCGAAAAAAAAATTGTAACACAAGAAACAAGAAATACAAATGAAACGAAACCATTGCAGTTCCAACTATTTGACATTTTGGCTCACATAACAATAATAATAATAATAATAATAATAATAATAATAATAATAATAATAATAATAATAATAATATAATAGAATAGAATAGAATAGAACAGAATTTATTGGCCATTCAGATACGTCACAAAAACAACAAATGGTACGTCAAAGGTTAACAATACAAAAGAATTTATATATATAATATAAAAGGTTGTACAATTTTTGAGAACTAACACACTAACGCAGTGGTCTATTCAAGTGTAGTATGTTTGATCAACTCCAAGTATTCATTAATATCATAGAAAGGATTATCAGTAAAAAAACTTTTCATTCTCTTTTTAAATTGTCTGGTAGATTTTTTATATTATTTGGGAGAACATTATACAGTTTAACATTAATCTTATTGTTTTGTGAGGACGTCAGTCTGGAGTGAGGTGGGGTGATCATGTCAACATACCTAGTATTATACTCATGTCTATTGCCAAGTGTCCCATAGACATCCGCGTTTTCGTGAATATACAGGATGGATCGGTATATATAAGTAGAAGGCAGCGTCATAACCTGGAAGTCAGAGAAAATGGGCTTGCAGTGGGCAATCGGGTTGGCACCGCAGAGGACCCGCACAGCCTTCTTTTGCAAACGAAAAGCTCTTTCCGTATATCCAACCCCACCCCAAAGCACAATGCCATAAGACAGCACACTATGAAAAAGCCCAAAATAGGCTATCCTAAGGGCCGCCGGGGTTAGACAATGGCTGAGATGTCTCAGTAGGAACAGTCGCCGAGACAACGTTGCACAGACCTCATGAATCTGGCCTGACCATGACAGAGTCCTGTCAATTACGAATCCCAAGAGGGTTATATTATTTTGATACAGATAGTCGACTTTACTGCAGGAGAAGGTAAGTTCTTGAGTTTTTTGTTTATTGAGGACTAAGTTATTTGCAGAAAACCATTGCTGGAGAACATTTGTTGCTACGCTGACATCTTCACTAAGCATTCATTGATGCTTAGCTGTTAACAGAATGGCAGTGTCGTCAGCAAACAAGGTGACATTCGCATCTGGCACGGACAATGGCAGATCATTTATATAAATGATGAAGAGCAACGGCCCAAGAACCGAGCCCTGTGGGACACCGCAGCTCACTGGAAGAGCATCATCACTCGACACTCCACCAAACTCGACATACTGAAACCTGTTACTAATATACGATTTTATTAACTTTAGAGGGATACCTCTGACGCCATAAAATTTTAATTTGTTTAAGAGCACATCGTGATCGACGCAGTCAAACGCTTTCGTAAGGTCGTACAGAAGTGCCTTTGATACGTCGCCAGCATCGAAACCCCGCACCACACTGTTCACAAAGTGCATAAGTGCGATTCACACAGAAGTTTATTTTCCTCAAAAAACAGTGACAGGCGAGCCTTCAGGGCTTTCTCAATGACTTTACCGAATATAGGGGTAATTGCAATGGGCCTAAAGTTATTTGGTGTATGTTGATCGTCTATTTTGTGAATGGGAATTATTTTTGAAAGTTTTAGATCCGAAGGAAATACGCCACTCGAAAACACTGCGTTCGTTATGGCTGCCAGGGGACCCACGATGTACTCAATGGTGTGTTTCAATATTTTTGAATTTAAGCCGAAGCAATCGGTAGAACTTGAGTTGTTTAGACCCATAATAATGCCATACATCTCACTCTCAGAGACCGGGCTTAAGAAGAAAGATTTACACGGAGAGGGTGTTTTCGTAAGGTACACATATGGGTCACTGGATTTCCCAATGGATGATACTAGGTCATTTACTACCTTGGAGAAGTAAGAGTTAAATTCGTTGGGTGTGATTGAGTTGGGTATAGCCTTTGAGGCTCGGTTAGTTTCATGGTTAATCAAGGTCCAACAACTTTTGCTCATGTTGCTGGCTCTAGTTATAAAATTGGCATATGCCTTGGATTTTGTTTCTTTGATCATTCTTTTGTAGTTAGCATTAGCCAGTCTATACTCAGCCCAACTGTCGCGTGGGGAAAATATTCGACACTTGGCTTTTAAAAGCATCACGTGATCCCTCATAAGTTTGAGGTCACGATTGAACCAGACCACGGGGGAACGGAAGGAATTACTGCGCTTTACGACTTTAAAGTGATTCTGGATATTGGCGGTGAAGATATGAAGCAGTTCTTTTGTTGAGTTGGTCGGATCGGCGTTAGTATTAATAAAAGGTTCCCAATCGGTGCTCTCAAAACTTGTGCAGAGGTTATTCAGACCCGCCTGGGTAATTGGTCTGAATTGAATATGGTCATCGTGCACAGAGGAAACATCAAAGTGTAATTCCATAAAAACAGCGGAATGATCAGAGAGTGCTGGATCCTCACTGCCCGCAGTGAGGATCCAGGATAATAATAATAATAATAATAATAATAATAATAATAATAATAATAATAATATTTATTTTCCCGAAGATAACTACAACATTGTATAGGAATAGTCAAAATACATAACAAGTACAATATACATAGACAACCAAAAAACATTTACTCAAAAAAATTGACTATATAAAATTTTTTGGATAATAAAAATATTTTTAATCGTTTTTTTAGCTCCAAAAGCAGATTGTTAAAAATACGAATACCACTAACTTAAAATTCGATAAATTGTTATATACAATACAAAACAAAAATCAATAGACTCTCCAATGTGAGAATTTTGTACTGGGCAAATAAATCGCTACAAGATGTAAACTTGGGAATATGCGCAATACTCTTTAATATACGTTTTTGGGCCACAACGTAATCGGGACTCCACCTTCTCCTAGTGTAAATTAAGCAACTGTTGCCTACTTAAAATCTCACTAAGATTTATAAAAAGATCATTTACACTATTTATAGTTGAAATAAGAGTATCAGAATGTGACTTCCAATTTATACATTCATCCAAACTCAATCCTAGAAACCTCACAGTATCTCTATTTACGATAGGTTCATTACCTAAACAGATGTTAAAATTATCACATTGTTTCTAATAATTATGAAACCTTATAGTTTGGGTTTTACTTGCGTTGCGTACATGTCATCAATCTATCGAGTACCCCACAGCACTTCTCTGAGAGGTCATCGTCATTTCTATACTACAACACCAAAATATATCAGGTAAAATTGTCAAGACACAATTTACATATAATATGAAGAGTACAAGGCCTAAAACTGAAGTCTTGAGGGACACCCATCTCTATACATTGACTAGCTGAATTTACATTTTTTATTCTCTAAGGGATACAAATTGAGAACGATCTTCTAAAAAACTCCTGATCCAATCTAGAGGCTTACGCCTTATACCCGAAGCTTACAAAGCTTCCCAAGTTCCTTAAATCAACTGTGTCTAGTCATATCAGCATAACGGATCTTCGACCTGCATCAACACAATTCGATAACTCCTAGTTTGTACAGACCTGGTTATTGTATGCAGCCTCGGAGTAGAAAATCCAAGGGCCACAAATCTGGCCAGTTCCAGAGTCCTTTAACTTTTTTGTAAAGAAAATTAAAACTCAGACAAACTTAGTCAACTTAGTCAAAATCGACTACTTCGAATTTTGGTTAGTTTCATTGATTGGATAGAAAACATGAAATGGGAACTGTTGAGAGTAGGTTTTGGCAAAGGCAAACAATCGATTAAACTAAATTATGCATCATACCATACAATATTATATAGGGATCGTATATCAAAAAACGAAGATCTGCAGCTTTGAAAATGCTGTAATTTGTTGTTAAGGGATGAATCTTGCATTATATGGGCGATTTCCACTAGTTAAAAACGTTTAAAAAGCGCAGTGTTCAAAATAATGTTACATATTTGAAAGTAATCAAGATATTGAAGGAACCATTGAAAACAGGTATAAAGAAACATGAAGGTACCTAACATGAAATTTTGTCGTAAATCGATGATAAGGAAGATAGGCGCTGTAAGAGACTTCTGGGATACCCCGTACGATGGTAACTGTGTGCAGCCCCTCGCAGCCGACGCTGACTTAATATTGGGAGACTAAGTATTTTGAGATGGTCATCGTAAGATGTATGCTTAAGTTGTGGTGACCAGCGCGTAGCGGCTGGTTGCAAAACATCACAGTCACGCAATAGCCATGGGTTCCAGACTGGGGAAGCAAATTGCAGGATGGGGCGAATGTAAGTGGTAAAAAGTCTGTAAGCGATGCGAGAACTAGGATTTTTAAAAGTCTTTTTTAACAAAAGTAACGCGCAGTTTGCTTTCTTTGCAATATTTGATACATGTACAGAGCACGCAAGATCATTAGTTACTGTCACACCTAGGTTCAACTGAGAATCGACACTTGGCACAAAGTTTCCATTGATATAATAGTTCAAACCGGGATTGTTCTTGCCAACATGCAGCACAGAGCACTTTTGAGCATTCAGCCGCAATAGCCAAGTAGAACACCACTAGGAAATAGTATTCAAGTCTCTCTGCAATACGTCCGCATGTGTTGAACGATTTTCAAATAATTTAGTGTCATCAGCATACGCGCTCACATGAGAATCAATGCTGGAGAGCAAATCCACGGTATACACTAAGAATTGCACTGGTTGCAGCACCTATCCCTGGGGAACACCACTAGGCACGTTTTGTGGCAGTGAAAAAGCATTACCAATTCGAACTCTGAACGACCGGTGACTTAAAAATGCCGCTATCCACTCTAGCAGTTTACCCCCCACTCTGACCTTTACAAGTTTGAATAACCAGCGTCGATTTGCTGAAGTCAAGGTAAATAATATCCACCGGGTCACCTGAGTCAAGAGATAATGTCCACTGATTCAAGCATGTCCATGTATTTGATATGACTGATCTGCCGGCAACAAGGCCATGCTGCGATGTAGGCGTAATATGGCAGTCGATCAAAAACGATAACAGCCGATTTACTATAAGGCGTTCAAGAACTTTACATATAATACACACTAGGCTGATACGGCCTTAATATAAAACGTGGAGCTTATCACCCTTTTTATAAATCGGTGTTACAGTTGCGGATAACCACTGATATTCTGTGATTATTTTTTTCTACTCTCGTCTGTAAAATACCCAATTACACACTGATCTCGCGTGCGGGAAGCGTCACTTTACCACGTCAGTTTCGTTTCCTACGGATCCGAACCACTTCGGACAGTTCCGGGATTTCACCGCACCGGTTTAGGAGGACGCCTTTAATTTTGACGTTTGTCGATTCTGACGGTCATGTCAGTGAATGTATTCGTGTTCTTTTGGGAAAATGGACTCAAAAACTAGAAAAAGTGAATAAACTCGTGAGTCAAATGAAGTTTATCGCACTTGTTGCATAATATACCACGAACATATATTAAAATTTCGAAGTGTTTTTCGGCACTACAATAAACGGCGAAAATCAACAGAGGGTCCGTTTATAAGACGCTTCGCCGATTATTTTCACTTTTGCGAGCGCTAAAATATTGGGCGACTGATTTTAACCTAACCGAAAATCTTGCAAACCTTTCGTTCGTGCGATTCAGCTTGGCGAAACAACAAAAATGCACGCACGCACATATACGTGACACAATACAAGCGTATTATGCAAATCGGAGGTGCACCCCGTGCTGTCTCTTCCGGCAATTTTTCAATAAGCCTCATTTGAATACGAGCGAAATAGTCATACACATGGCTCTCTTTTATCCTGATCTCTGCGCGCGAGGAGGGTCCTTTGCTATACGGCTGCTGCTGCTGCTGCTCTCTCCGCCGTTGCTCTGAATTATATTCAAATGAACTCGGCGATTTATCATTTTTTCCGGCACAATCCGTTCGTTAAACTGCCTACCTGCATTTCAAAGCGACAAACCAGCGGCGGACCACCCAGCGCACTGCTCAACTCTCTCGTATATTCATTTTACGTATTTTATTTATTTCCCTTGATGAACCGATTTGGGAAGATCGAATGCGTGGAAAGGGCACACCACAAAAATAAATAAGAAATCACCAAATTTAGAGACGTTAAACAACATAGTCTTCCTCCACACCATTCTAATACGTTTCGCATCCTACCCTGATCAGAAACGCATAAAAGCTGCTCACCATCTTGAGCTAGAAATTATTGGAATGTGGTTTCGGTTTGGTGGGTGGAAATGCCTCAAAAAAAAAAGAAATAAGTTCCAATTTTCCAGAAATGTTTGGCTTTTAATGCAGGTGAGCTTGCGTGCCATTCTCCAACTATTTGCTTTCATTCCCTGGTTTCTAGCTGACGATGATGGTGTAAACACCTTATGCGTTTTTACTTTGTTTATATTAGTTAACCTTGAGTTGAAAATATAGACAATATAAAAAATACACGAAATCTATGTCTAATTAAGTTTAGCTTTTAGCTTTTTAGGTTGGTTACGCCCTTGATACTCCAGAGGAGTTATTTTTTACAGTTCTCGACACATTCACTGTAGGCCTGTGGACAGAAGGACAAGATTTTCTCTAGAGGGATTTTTGATTAAAATTTTGACTTATTTTATAATTGCGTATTTACTTTTGCGGTATCATGTGGGTCATTTGGAGAAGAAGAGACAGATTTATGGAAAACCTCGAACAAACATAAACTAAATCATTGAAAGCGATCGTCACTAGCATAAATTTTAAGGACTGATTTTGTTGTTTTCATTAGTTGCTTCACAATTTTAATAATAATATTTAGCTCAAAAAATAATAAATATTAAAACTTTAGTTAGTCCTTCATCATCACATGGAATAATAAAAAGGATTGTGGGTGGTACAAACTTTGAGCAGTATGAATCCTTACATAATTTTTTCCAGTCCACCAAAGCGGCTTGTTGAGCAATGGTTAAATGTAACTTTAAGACATCAGTTTAGTTTAGCTCTAGCTACGATTATAGAAGTGGTCTGATGTTTTCGGTGGATTTTAGCCTTTGACGATTGTCAGTTTTGATGATGAATATTTTCGTGCTGTTTTGAAGTAATGTAGACTAATACTAATGTTCATAGAAAAAGTATAAACCTTCCATTACAAAATACCAACAAAAATGTTCATCATATATTGTGTATTATTCGAAACAGTATGAACAGCATGGTTAAGAACAACTAATGCCACAACAACTGTTTAAGCGAAGGCGGCAGCCGTCTTGCAAATAATGTTACTTAAGCAGGACGCATATAATAAAACAAATTATATAACTTTTCAATAATGAAATAAAATAAAGCAAATTCACGGACTACAGCCGAAACGGTAAAGTCTGTTCATAGATAAAAGACGGTGACTTACTGATACGAATTAAGGAAAGACGCGGGCAAGCTGTATGAATGAAATATGGCCGAACAGGTCCGTACTTTGCTTAGAATTTAATTATTTGGGGTTTTGTTA